TCTCCAACTATTAGTCTGTTGACCTGTAGCCCTGCCAGGCCGTGAAGAGAAGTGCGCATGTCATGGAAGTTCTCAAAAGAGGACCTCAGAACCAGTTCACCAAGATGAATCTTTGCAAAGGACCCCGGCTGGATGTATTTTATACTATTCAGAGAGAGCACCAAGGTGAGGTTGAGCCTGTTTGCTTCTCTCAGGGCATCAAGGTCTCCTTTGGAGATATATGTAATCTTATTGGAGAAAAAGCTCAGGTGCCTGAGAGAGGTCAGGTTGGAAAAATACTTGGGAAGCTTCAATGAAGCAATGCTGTTGTGGCCCAAATTCAGCTCCTGTAGGGTATGCAAGTGTCCAATCGGTAGGTCAGTCAGAGAGGATATGCCGGTTTCCACCAATACTAGTTTTTTCAGAGATGTTAAACCATAGAAGGTTGCTGACCCCAGGTACTGGAGGGAATTGGCAGTTAAAATTAAGGTGGAAAGTTCATGAAGATCCACAAAAGAGTTGTCTTCTATTGTATGGATGTGGCACCTGTTGGGCAAGAAGAGGGGATAAATGTACATGAATGAATAAATGTACTTTTACTCTACGGTCACTAACACTACTGCACTAAGTGCTAATGCAATGTTCTCAGACTTAACATCTTGCTGAAGCTTAGCTTGGCATTGCTGTGCTCCTGAATCCAACTTCTCCTTCCTCAGTCTGCAGGTGAACATAGTTATTTCCCAGCAAGGAGCATCATTAACCAGCTGTGCAAGAGGAACCTTCCCATAGCAGGAGAACTTCTCTCTCCTCCTCGTCCGAGATCTGAATTTCAGTTGCAAAGCAAGAGACCCAGAGCTATGGTCAAAATTCAGGCAGGCAGCAGAACAAAAGCATTTTAGTTTTCTTTTTAGGCCAAAGTAAGACTCTGATGCTCATCATTGATGGCAGAGCCAACCAGATGGAGGACTCCCTTACATCTTGCACTCTCACAGCTTCCAGACTCTCTCAGCAACAGCTGGGCAGTCCCCCTGGCACAGGACTGATGCAGCAGTTGCAAAGCTCACAACCCAGCAGTTTTGCTGATATCTGAGAGGGAACAGACCCCTGGTTGTGTTGGTTCTAAAACAGAAAAGGGAGAGTGAAGAGGAGTGTCGCTGCCTAAAGGTGGTTTCATATGAGAAGACACAAAGTTTGAGACCCAAACCCATTCTGTAATGAACTCGAGCACAATGAGCTTTACAAGTCAGTCAGTGCCTTACAGCAAACATGCTCTGCCACTCAGCTACTTCAGAGCTGTAACTGTGATGGGACTGAGTGACATTTTTCAGTGAAACAATTTACCCATAGAAACTGTTGTCTCAAGTCAATGGAAATTATACATCAATTCAAATTTGCTAATAAGCCTCCCTCATCTCCTCCCCCAGATATGTGAGTAGAAAGGAAGAGATCTGTTGATATTTTAAAACAACCACCTTTTACAAAATGAATGTACCTTTTTTTTTTTTTTTTCCTTTTAGATGTGATTAGAAAAACAGTTCACCCAAGATGTTCCATGTTCTACTTTGGAGTTTTTGTAACAGTGAAAAGTCTGGCATTTTTCTTGTTCAGAAAGAAGTAAAGAAGTAAAACATCCTCCTCCCTCTCACATCGTGTCCTACAATATCAGACTGACAGGCCCAACTCTGAGAGAGTGTGCCCTCAGTAACTGGACTAAAATCTGTACATCAGTGCCATGGGCATGTGCAGAGAGACAGACAGAGGGATAAAGTCAAGAGCAAAACAACAAACAGCCAAAATGAACAAGACCCCAAAATCTGGAACTGTTCAGGCCCAGCTGGGGTAAGGTTGACCAGTATCTACATAAAAAAGGCTCATTACCTTGAAAGATCCAGAAGCTGCAGTTCAGGGACTGATGAAAAATAATTTGAGCTCAGTGATTTCAGATTGTTGAAGCTGAGGTCCAGCTCCTGGGTGGTGTTTGGGACTTCAGGGGGAACTCCAGAGATGTTCAGCCCCATGCATCTGAAAGCTTTGCTAGGGATGACCTGTAACAGTGGCAGATCCTTTCAGTCAACACTCACTCTTCACAAAATACCAGAAAATTATACTGTCAAGAAAGCAGGAGCAGAGCAACTATCACACAGTTCATTTCTAAGTGAACTTCGAAGTTCAGTTCTAAATGAGCCGCCCTGAGCTTCAGGAAATAATCTCATATATCCTAAGCACCTCTCCCACCTCTGGTAGAACCAGTCCTGCTCCCCAGGAGGAGCTACATTTCTTGCTGATTGAAGCAGGTACAAAACCAGAGGACAGTGTTCCTCGAGGCTATGGATGAACCAGCAGCAACCTCTGAAAGAGCCAGCGAAACGAACACAGGGGGATGTGTGGTGTGCCCTGGATCAGCGCTCAGCTCTGACACACTGCAGAGAAGCAGGCAGCTCTAACAGAAATTGCTCTGTGAGTAATAAGTAAAGTTTGCAAAAGGCAGCTCATCAGTGCCAGGTGTTTGGGGTACCGGTGAAGTCACTCTACAGCACAAATCAGGCTAAAATATCATAATTTGCAGAGTTTTTAGACAAGGCTTGGATCTCTTCCTGAAGGGATACATAATCTATTAGTTTAGCTGTAGTGTAGTAACCTCAGAGGTACAGAAAGCCAAGAAGAAGAAATGGTTTGTGCTGCTTGTTCTGGTTCTCAGGTGTTTTTGAGACCAGCGTTTACTTCAAATATTTCAATTGCCTTGGTAACAGCCTTGGAAGAAAGATGAGCTTCCGTAAGAAAACTAACACACGACAGATCTGATGCACAAATCTCCCAAGCAGAGGGGAAAGTTGCACCGGAGAAGCAGAAGGATTTCGTGCTCGTGCAGAGATCACGTACCTCCAAACAGGGACTGAGGAGGCAGCCTGCCAGCTGCAACAGGATGAGCACCAGCTGCAGCAGCCCCACAAATGTCCACGGGAGGAGAGCTGCTCTCCTGGGCATCTTCAGGAGGCCAGGCACGCAGGAGAAAGCACCATGGGTGTCACACAAGGACCCGTAGAGAGAAACCTCCTGAAACGCCGAGCGCTGCCTCCCACCGCTCCTGCTTCTCACTGCACGTCACTGCGAGCTGCAGAGAACAAGGGGAAGTGAAACTGGTGACTGCCCAGTTTCTAGACATGCTTGGAGTGACTTGCGCTTCTTGCAACTCTGTGTTTAAAAAAAGGAAGAAAAAAAGGAAGTACCAAAAGGTGTAGTTTGGACTAGAACTTAAACAGCAATATGAGTTGTACCGCTGTGTCACTTGACTCGATTACCTCAGATTAGCTCAGGCTAAATTGGTGGAGAAAAAGGGAAACTTGTGAAATTGTGAGTCCAATTTCAAGAAGGCCAGGTTTCACATCCCATAATGTGAATGCACTGTGTAGAGCAAATGAGTCTCTGCATTCATCCCCCTGCCACGCTCCCAGGACAAGTTCACGCCTTGGGCCCATGTCTTCCTGAGCCCAGTAACTATTACGTTACTGGTTTAGCTATGGCTGAGCTCTCATGAACACACACCTAGGATTTACCGGGCCTTGGTATCGCATCATCCCAGGAAGAGGCTGCACAGGGCCATGCACAAGGGCCAAGCAGCGGAGATCTGACCATGGAGCAGTCAAAGCCCCAGGCATGGCTCAGCCCGCAGCACCGCGCTGGGCTCCCTGCTCCCCTGCCCTTGGCTGGGACAAGCTGGGAGGGCTGGGGTCAGGGTTTGAAGCCTTGCTACAAAATCAAGTCAGTGGAGGGTCATCTCAACACCATCCTTAACTCACGGTGTAGACACAGCTGCTGTTTCTGGGGGAGGCTTTGAAAAAGCCGAGTGTTGGTAATACCAATTTAATTCAGCTGTGAGCTTTCTAATAAAGCTCCTTGCCTTCATTTACTCTGATAAATGGTAGTGTTTTATTGTATCTACTCATGTCTTTCTGTAGATAAATAAGAGTTGTTACTGGGGAACTAGCTGTAGGGTTATGGAATATCATTAACACAGAAAAATGGCAAAAATGGGAGATGAGGATAGGATACTAGTCTAGAAATAGATGGAACAGGGAGCAACTACACATGAAAATCTGTGAATATTGATAGTAAATACAAACTGAAACACAAGGCCAGTGAGCAATCCACTTACAGAGAAAAAGATAAAATCTCAGGGAGGGGGGATGGACACAGGACTTCTTTGGCAAGGTCAGTAGAGGGCCACTGAGGGATGAGGAAATCCTAAAATAACAGATGATCTCTGTGATAAAAAACACATATCAGCACAATGGCAGCTAAAACTGACACCCTGATGTGCAGCCAGATAGCGCCCATTAAGCCAGCAGACAAAAAGTTTGTTGAAATTGGGCAAGTTCTACAAAATCCCTGTTCTGAAAAGCCTCTTGTGATTGCAGGTATTTCCTTTTACAGATGGAATCAAAAGTGAATGGAAACAATTGCTGACTGCTTCTGTGCCTGGATTAAGGAAATTGGCAGAGCATCATGTGTCTGCAGAGAGGACAAATGAGCATGTCCTTTAGTATTCAATATGCAGAATGAAGCAATCCACATTTAATTTTTATCTAAAGCTGAGATGAGCCTGAAGTATGCTCTAGAAATTACCATTTCAATGGAGACTCACTGAAGATGTTGGAGAGTTTGGGAGCATCACAAAATCTATCCAACAGCCATGCTTAGGAGTCAAGTGGAAAGTACAACTTGAAGGACATTCAAAGAGCGTGCTGCTTCTATCACAGGGGACAGTTTCACAATGCATATCATCACTGGTTCAAGGACAAATCCTACAGAAATTGCAAGAGATAGGGCACAAGCTGAAAACATGCAAGCTAGCAAATCAAACCCAGCCACCAGTTTAGAAAGTCAATGCCAGTTAACTTCGTATTCTTCAGCTTGCATACAATGTGCAATGACTGTAGAAAGCCATAATGTCTCTGTAATTGCCTCTTTCAGTTCACAAGAAACAAAAGTATTATTTGGAATCCTTTAAAGTGACAAGAATAACATCTAAAATATAACATGATTCACTGTGCTGGCAATTTTCTAGTGGGATCATCAAAGATCTTTCAGGAAGGAGGTGTTACAGAAATCTCAGTGTTTCTAAAAACACATGCCAGGATAATCTTTGTTCTCTTGAACATTATTATAATATAAGTAACACAACAGCAGACAGCATATACGCAACCCCTGTCATCTGAAGCAAAGTATTACCTATCATAAGATGGCCACAACATAGTTGTACTGACAAAACAAGTTGTACTATTGCATATATTAAAAACCCCCAAAAAAAAGAAAAAAAAAGAAAGAAAAAAAAAAGGAACTCCAGCTGAACACAAAAGTTAGCTAAACTCTTGGACAAGACAACTGCTGATATCCTGCATGCATTTCATTGAGGGAACTGGTGTGTAGACAATATATGAACATCTGCAAACCAACCCAGCAACTCGCTACGGAGACAAAAGACAGACAGAGAACTTCAGTGTTTGTTCAGTATGAGGTTAGCTGGAACAAATGTAGCTGCACAATGTCCCGGCCACGAGAACAAATAGGGTAGTCTGTATCTATGGTGATTTTGAGGTCACGTCTAACACAGTATCATATGTAGATCAACACCTATTGCCCACAAGAGAGGCTGTTTTTGGCTCAGCAGTCAGGTTAACAGGTCCCCAAGTCTATCTGCAAATGGAGGTTAAGGAACATAGCAAGAACTGTTTCAAGAATGAGCAAAGCAGGTTTTATTTTGAGTGAAAGAACCATGTGTAATAACTACTTGACTGTGAGTCAGGGATCAGATAGGTGAGAGCATCCATGAAATGCTGGTACTTACACGACACAGTATTTGCAGAGCTAGAGATAGGGAGCACTATGAGAACTTCCAAATATACTCGAGCAGCTCAGGCACGCTCTACCACCTGATCCTGTATTGCTTTCAGATGGGTTGCAGCACTGGCCATATGTGCCTTCCTAACTAGCAGTGTATCAGTTAATACAGCTCAGCTTAGCAGTCACTTGGGGTGAATTAAGCTTAAATCTCATCATGTTGCAGCTGGGGTCTAGGTTCAGGGTGCGTAGACAGTTACTGAATGCTTAAGGTTCAGCTGACACGTGGTCCCTCCTTTTACTTCGCAGCTGAGTCATCTGTCCAAGCCTGAAAGGTTGTCTGAGTAGATAGGAAAAGAAAACGTCTCAAAAAAGTAACAGCATGTTGGATTTTCCCAGCTATTCTGCTGGGAAAAAAACAATTTTTATAAATCACAATGAAAAAAAAAAAATCTGAAAATGGCTTTAAGATGCTCTTGCTGCAAATATCACAAACACGTTGCTTCCTGGAACTGGTGAATCACCGCCTCACACGGCCGTCCCCGGCCGACCTGGCAGACGCTGGATAGTGACGGTGCTGAGCCTCCCGCTGCGCCGGGGCTGGTGGAGGAGCTGAGAAGCTGGCGTCATCAGAAAGGGTCCTCGCTACACTGCCGTGATGCCTGTAACTCTCACCTGTGATGCTCTGCCAGTGTGAAGTGGGTGGAAGCATTTCACATCTGACGGAAGATCAGACCTCTTGCCTTTGCTTCTGGATCTTGCAGCATTGGAGAAGATAAGTGTTCAGATTGAGGGAGAAACTCCGCTTTGAGTTTGAGGTGTTGTTAGAAAGCTTCGCCACTGCCTGTTGAGCAATGAATGACTCTAGTTACAGATCATTTACATCATTACCTCTAATCACAGCACAGAAACTGCTAGTTTTGAAGCACAGAGAATCAGCACTGCAGATTGCTTGTTGTGCCTGTGTCTCTAAGTGGCAGGTAAGCACGTGAAGGTAGAATCAGAGACAGTCTGTACATGCTATGTAGCACTGACCAAGCCCCAACCAACTGCAAATGGTGCCACTCAAAACATGGCACAATCCAGCACAGCTAAGTTCCTTCCCGCTGCAGAAAAAGGACAGGTAGGAGTGTACACAAGGGAAGGAAACAAATCCAAAAGCTCCTGTCCAAGTTAGTTTGATCAAAAGCATCCAAGCCTACATTGAAGTAGGTAATGTGTGTCATCAGATGGGTTATTCCCCAAAGCCAAGGTCATATGAATACTCCAGAACTATGCAAAAGCTATTAGGGAAGAACTGTGTCAGGTGTTCAGGGACGAATATATGACTAGAGGAAGTGATTAATCAGTGTCAAGGCAGTCACTATCTGTGGCAGGTACTCCATATGGACTACGTCAGGTCATATAGGAGCCCTACATTTTACTGAAGTCAGTGTTTCGTCTAAATGCTTGGAAGGATTTCACACGGATAGTGGAGGTGTCTGAATTCACTCACCAAGTGCTGGACAGGCAGCGAGTGATGGGGGAGCTCCCTTGTCCCGTGGGGGAGGCAGGCTGGCACCATGCCGCCCCGCAGCTCCCTGCCCTTCTGCCTCGGCTGAACCACGGGCACCCCTCAGCTGGCCACAGAGCCGGGGCTTCACTGTCAGCACTGACAAGAGGATGTTCACGGTGCCTTGGCATGAAATGCACCGTGCTGGGAAGCAGAATAATTGCCTTCCTGCAGCCCTGAGGAGGGTGCTAGCTTTTGCTCCTCTAGCAACAATAGGACTCATTTTCCTTTTCTTTCCCCCTTCATTACATCCTTATTATGGTGTCTGGTAGCCTAATTTACATATGTTCTGTATTACTGTGGCTTTGCTTTATCCTTCTTATTTCACCTCCTTTACCCCAGTTCCCTTGACAATACTGAGTCTGCGGTAGGGCATGGATTTATTCGGACTGCCAGGCACAAAATGTGGGGAGGACACGGAGGACTGCACACCTCAGGCTTTCTAAACTGGGCACAGGACAGGTAGATTTGGGCGTTCAGTGCCACCGCCGAAGCATGGTTAAAAACAAAGCCTCTTCTAACACTCTTGTGAAAGACTGATCAAGCGGCAGCTCTAATGATCTGTAGTCACCTGGAGAGATTACAGAACCCTGTTTTGAGGGAAAACCAGGCAGCTCTTAGACACAAGAGCAAAAATGCGTGCAGCAGACCTGCTTGCTGCAAGCATGAAGAGCACTGCCACGGGCAGTGACCAGTGCTGAGACTCTTGAGCCTCGTGTTTATGGTTTCACTACCATGACTTGTCAGTACATGACAGGAAAATGTTGCAATGACTGCGTCGGAAAGTGCAGACGCAGCTCCTGCAAGCTGTGGCAAAGTTCTTGTGTGCGTTACCTTGAGAGAAAATGTAAGCTACCTCCTGGGGTTAGCTGGTAGCATGCTTTATATATCAGCTCTCAGACGTTAAAATTTTTATGCCATTTTACTCTAACAGGAGAAGATCACAGAGTATTAATTATCCATATAGTCGAGAGCCCACTGCCATTGCTTACAAAGCAGTAACTGCTGAAACCCTGCTTGAGCCAGACCCACATGCATATTTGTATCCATTTAGGAACACTGCATTTCTGGAACAAAGCAGAACTGGTGTGGCTATTATGTGCTAAGTAGAAAGTAAAGACTTACTTGCATACAGACCATAACCTGAAGCCACTGTTCAGCCCATGAAGAGGAACTTACTGAAGCAGCTTTTTCCTCCCGAGATCAGTTCAGTTCTGTCTGCACGTGCAAGACCAGGCCATTGCCTTTTAGCCTTCAGGTGACCTTCCTCAAACTGAGCTGGACTGGGGCCTCCTGTTCTTGCATCAGGCTCCCGGGGCAAGACAGCTTTGGGGGAGATTTGTCAACATTTCTTTGGCCATGAGCTGCATGCACTGACCAGGGCAAAACCATTTCAGCTCTAGCGGAGCAGGAACCAAGCTGGACAAAAGGCAATAGCAGCAGGAACAACATAAAGTGGATTAACTTTTTGCAGAAGACATTATCAAAAGCCTTCAGGCCTGAGATACTGAAAAATAAGCTACCCAGGAAAAGAAGTGCCCAGAATAGCATGGGAAGCACCCTGAAAGCCTGAGCACAGTGAAAGCAGGGGGAGGAAGGAAATGGGAAGCAGAAGCTTCGTTTCCCATAGAAATAGTTAGCAGTTATAATGCTCCCACACCCCAAATGCTGCTGCTGTAAGACATGTACAGCTTGATCTAAATTGAGCCAACCCCACTCTTAGAGCTTGTTTCTAAACAGCTATGCAGAAGGAACCTTCTCAGGGAGCATCTGGCTGAAGAGGCTGCAACAAAGGGGTCCTGCCAACATCACCATTAGTTTAATGTCATGCCATAGGTTCTTTCTCCAGGTAGAGGCAACATTTTGGTAAAGCATCAACTGAGGTGAACCCACAATGATAAAAGGCCAGGAATAAAGCAGTAAAGATGGGGAAATATGACACAGCTGCTTCCTGGAAGGAAGCTGTAGAGGATGAGAAGATGTGGCCACAGAGGTGGTCATGAGACCATCTCACCGCAGACTCTCACCACCTGTGAGATGTGGAGATGAGCCAGCCACAAACAGGTGAGGTTTTAAGGGGGTTTCTTAAATGTGGAAGATCTTTAGCACACAAAGTAGACTTGGCAGGGTGGCTCCATGCTCAGCACAAACTGGAAGAGACATGCAAAGCTTGGGTCAGAACGCTGGGAGGGAAAAAAAAAGGAGACTGCATGGGGTCATGGAGCTATAAAAAGATCTCAGAGGCGATTCTAAGGTAGTTCTCACCTGTCTGCATGGGGAATCCCCCTCCCACAAGACAGTGCCAACCCCTTGAAACTGAGAAGTGCATTTATTCTCAAACAGAACAATAAAAGAAACAACTCCTGAAGACATTAACATTTGCCAACAATCAGCAAGACACTGAAATTTCTGAGTGTTCAGTCCTTTTCCATGGCGATGGGTAGGTACGACTCTCTCTCACTCCAATCTGTAGGAAGCAGTTTGAAATCTCAAGGTAGGCACTGCGCTCTCACCACTCCCCTACTCCCTTTCTCAGGGGGTGCAGACCAGCTTAGCATCTCAGTCTGGTGCTTTTCACAAGTAACCTGGTGAGCAAAGGACAGTTGTTTACAAACCAGGAAGGGATTACTTAAGGAAGAAGGGTTGTGTAATACTGCTCATCCTCCAGTGCAGCAGGCAGCAATGAAAGACAGATGCCAACAGAGAAAAGCACAAGTGCTCTGAATTTGGAGGATTCATCTCCCATCCCATGTGGGGCAGGACATGCTGTCACATGCTCAGAACAACCTGGAACAAGGGTAAAGTCCAGCTGGGATCACCAGGGTTGTCAGGATGGAGACAACAAGCGTCACGGCCTTCTCTCAGCGGTTCTGGGCCTGAAAGGCAGGGCTGGCTAGGTCAGCAATCACTCCCCTCTCAATCATCTTCAGCAGCCAGTTCCCCTCAGCTGTGAGATTATGCTGAATGAGCTGCAAGGACAAGAGAGCCAAAGTTACAGATTATTCCTTACAGTGCCTCTCATCCTCCCCCAAATGCACTGGATCCTGCCTGACCCAATTTGCACCCTCCTCCCCAAACTAGGCCAGATGACAGGCACCACAAAGGAGCCAGCATCTGTTCTCAAGCTGCTCCCTGGGAGCAAAGCATGTCCTAACACCTTCCCCAGGACACCCCAGCAGGAATTTCCACAAGTAACACCAGTGACAGCTACCAGAGCTCACAGCTCCTTTAGTCCCAGCTTTTGCCAGTAGGCTTCCCTATGGAGAACACCTCAGTTTGAAGGGGAAGCATTTCCTACCTCTTCTTTCCGTGAGCGACCTGTATTGTAATAATGTATTGGTGCAGTATTGTCGTGGTTGCCGGGGTAACCAAAGCCTGCAATATTGACCTCCTGGCATATATGGAGGGCTAAGTTCAAAGCAATGATTCCCATGGTGGCATATCTCTGGGAAGGGAAAAGAGAGAACATCTGTTTAGCATTTCAAACTCATACTATTACAAAACCGACACTAGCAACACCTTTTCAGCTGGGACCAATAGCTTCCACATATTCCACGTAGCAAGAAAATATACGTAAATGAAACAGGACAAATGCCTGGACAATGCTCCCCGAACTCAAACAAGGAACATCTTTTGAGAAGGTGCTGCAGAAGATGAAGGCTCAGGAGTGTAAAACCTCTGAAATGATAAAACACGGAGCTCCATGGAAATCAGAAAGCTTTTGGATGGAAGGAACCAGCACAATTTTTAATAAGGCCACTTCCATTACAGAGCCTGGACAAAGTCCCCGCATCTCTTTCTTTTCCAAGTGCCTCTGTGTGTGTGTTCCCTGCTGGAGGCCCTCATGTGAAATCTCACTTCTAATCCATGCACTAAATTCCTGTCCCTGGCCTATGTGCTACAAAACTGCCCTCTGCTCACATAAAGCTACATGACCATGTACAAACCGTGACCTTAAAAGCCTTGTGGCTGTGCAGAACACCCACCACGCTTGCAGCTGAACATACTGCCTGGTTCCCCAAGCTCACCCTAGCACTTAGCAACCCTCGTCTGGATTGTCCCACTTCGCACTTTCCAAACAGTTTAGTAGGGAAATGTACTTTTTTACAGCATTGCTTCAGCAGGCAGGAGACTTGGTATCTAATCTCAGCCCAGCTAAGAGTCAGCGCGTGACCTTGGACAAGGTTATTTCAACACACCAGACCTTCAAGCTTCTCCTGCCTTTGTTGCAGATTATAAACATCCTGGTGGTGCCCAGCAGGCTTAAAGTTAATTAAAGATTCCACAGCACCATCACAAAGATCATCAGGACTGAAGACAAAGTATCATTAGATTCATTAATGAAGTAATCCTCCATCGTGCAGCGAAGGGGAAATTTGCGTTCCAGAAGCAGTGGGCATAACAGCCAGCCTCAGGCCAGAGATCTGTAAGAACTGAATGTTTTAAGGAAAGCCAACCAAAATTCCTCACATTTTATGCTAGCTAATTATCAGTAATGGTCTAGACAGGGAAAGCACAGGAAGATGTATGAAAGTGCTTGTATGACAAAGCTGCTAGTCGCCAGAGAAGCAGGTGTCCTAAGGTCTAGAACTATGGCCAGAAATTCAACTCTGAAAAGTCACTTGAATGCAAAATGGCAAGGGATTACAGGGCAGATTGGAATTAGAGTAATGCTGCACAGTTGTGACAGGTGGGGAAAAGTCTTCCTTTTCCTTGTAGAAGCAGGGCTCAAAACTTGAAACACCATGCTATAGGGAAAGACTGCATTTACTAGGGGAAGGGACTGGCTGATCTAGTGACTAGGTTTTCCTTCCCCTTGTGTAGTGCTGAAGCAGTAAGGTATTAGGGAAGACACAGAACACTGATGGTCATCTGTTTGCTCTCCAGCACGATATCATACCCTACTTGATGCATTCAGCTGCAGCAGTTTGTATGTTGCTTCGTAGGTGACATATGGGTTGAGAACACGTAGCTGAGAGATGTTCCCATTCCACTGCTGTGGGGGCTGGTGCCAAAATCCCACCTTCGTCTGCAGAAGAAAGAAAGAGAGGTCCTCATGGCACATCCATGAACACCAGATCGTGCCAGGAGAAAGTTAGCTGCGGTCTGTTGCTCTGGCTTGATGCTCAGAGGACTGAGAACTTGGAGGAACAAAGCAATCTCCTGGTCTTCTCCACTCATTCCCATGCACCCATATGCAATCTAGCTGTGACTGGGGTCTTTCTAATTAGTGAAAAATAAGGTCTCAGGTGCCTGGTGCAGCTCATTAAATATTTGAACGATACATGATTATTAGAGCTATTGAATATGTCACTACAAATAACCTAGTTTCAACCTCCCCTCATTAAAGACTTCTCACCTTGTTCCTTGTTTTCAGCAACACTTCCCTCAGCCAGAGGAAATCAGAAGGCTTGAATGGGACAAACACCATCAGTGTATCATTGTCATTGTTTTCTAAAGGGTTGGGCAGAGCAGACTCAGGGAAGAAGAGACGGATGCTGGTTCTCTCACCCACATCTTTCTTGTACTCTCTAACTGGAGCATCATTTAATCTGAGAATCAAAGCCAGAAGGGTAGAATTGGTCCAGTTTCATTATCACCTATTCCCAACCATGGATGTAGCTGTGTGCTGTCAGGTACCATACTGGCCATATGAACTCACATGAGGATTCATATGGACTCATATGAACTCACCAACACACCTTATGGCCCAACCCAGCAGCCTGGTTCCACAGAAAGGGCCACCCCACCAGACAACCCAATAGTACCTCCTTTACACTAAAAAGATGGCAGTGGCAGACAACCACTATTTTTCAGATAGGGACATGAAGCACATTAAATTACTTGCTTCAGTCAGACTAAATCTGCATGTAAAATTAAAATGCAAACAAAGATTGGGATTGCCCACCACTGCACTGAGCTGGAGGTGGCTCTCCAGTCCCAGGTACAACACCTGTGGGTGAGCAGTACAGTTTCTGGCTCCAGCAGTGTCTGTGCTTAACCATGAATTCCAAAAAAAGTTATTTGATTACCTGAGCTGCAGGATCCTAGATGTTTCCCAGGTGAGAAAGCTAAAGCTACATACACATTGTCAATCCTTGGGCTTTGCTTAATTGTTAAGGTTTTAGTATGGGTTCAGTACCTGATGATAACATGGTGAGAGTCAATCAAATTCCCAAAGCGCTGTCCATGGATGGAGTGGCCATTGCCAACCACAATGCACCTTTGGCACCATAAGCTGGTAGAAGAATAGATTGCAAGAGATAAAATCCTCTGACTAGCATCTCCACCAGGCTAAATCAGCATCCCTGAGGGCCTTTTAGATGTCCTCAAGTAACTCCTGGGGCGACATCAGAGGAGAGAATCCCTGACTAGTAGGACTCTGGCTGTTTCCTAGCCAGATAGCATACGATACCAGACACCTGGTATGCTGGGCTTTACCCAGTAGACCAGTAGCTATGAGGGTGGACCTCTGCTTGTGGCATGCAGTGCACTGGGGAGAGGGAGAATGAGATATCACAGAAAAATTCATCTAATGAATTAGAGGAAGAAGGACCTAAATGAAAGTGCTTGCCAGCAGCTGCCACAGACAGCTTACTTTGCTTCCAGCTCCCCCTGAATGTGGGCAGGCAGAACTGAGGGATTCACCCAGCTTTCCAGTCTGTCATGCTTGGGATGGAGTTAAAGTAAGTGAAATAGATGGGACAGGGCAACACTGAGAAAAGAACTCAGGGTATGACAGAAGTTAAAGGGAGGAAGCTGGGAGCTAGCAGCTTAAGTTCATCAGTACGAGAACTGCTTGAAAGGGTACATTTAAAAGGGAGAGAAAGAGAAGCCTACTGAGAGAGGAGATGAAGAGTAGCAGGAGTGAGAGGCAGAAAGGACTGTGAAGTTGAGCACTAAGAGAGAGAACTTAGGAAAGCTGCAGAAACCAGGGCTCTCAACCCATCTGTCACTTCCCTGACAGACCTGCACCCCCAACACCCATCTCCAGCCCAGCCATCATACCGGCCAAAGGATCCAGGCAGCTCCTGCTCTGGAAGAAGCTGCAACGTGTTAAAAGCAAAGAGAACTAGAAAAGAAGAAGTTGAAGAGTCAACTTCAGAGGAAAATCATGGCCCCACCACTGACAACAGGCTAACTCTCTTTTCTCTTTTGGGGTTCCATCCCCATGTAAAGTGCCAGGGCAGTTTACATGGGACATCCTACATAAACACTGCTCGCCACCTCCACCTGCCCAGCACTGTCCACACTGGGCATTTTTTTCACATGAAGGACATGCACTTTGTGATCAGCACTACCAGCAATTGAAGCTGGTCTGTAGTACCTCACACTGAAAACGGCAACAGGTATCAGCCCACTCTGTATCCTCTTTCCAATGGCATTTAATAACCTCTGCAGGGGCTCCTACTCTATCCACAGGAGTATTTCTCTCAGTTTTCCACTTCCCATCCCTCCCTGAACAGCTAGAGCCTGTAGTTAAAGCACTGCTCCCCTTCTTTCATGACTACTATGATGGACTAAGACCTTGACACCCAGTATTTCTGTCTCCTTCTGCCAGGGAGAGGGAGGATCTCCAGCCACTCCGTGACCATCCACAACACTGAGGGCAGAGCACTGCAATACCTGAACTCTTCAGCCCAAAAGGAAGTTCATGGAACCACAGAACTTCTTCAGCCTTCCGTCTAAAAGGCCTGTCCATGAGCAAATATAAGGATTTGCTGGTCAGGAAAGGATTCCAGTGAGATTCAGACCTAACAAGAGAGAATCAGAGAGGCAGCAGTTCATGGACAAGTGGAGCAGTCACAGCAGTGTCAGACACAAGGACTAGGGCAGCTGAAGCAGGCTGAATACTGAAGAGCCTTGGAAAGTTGCAGAGCTATCCTGAAGTACTTCCCAGAAATGGCCCACATTTTTAAAAAACAGTCCTTACTGCTCGTGGTTTCTAACCCATCTTCTGAGCAGCAGTGACAGAAAAATTTCATTTCCTCTCCGGTTCTGCCCCCCCAGCTTCTCTCTTTTTTCAGTCATTCCTCTCTCTGTACTAGTTTGAGGAATGCTTACTCATTGTTTCATTGTTTATCCAGAGGAGGGAGGGAGAGAATTCCAGTTAACAATTTCATTTACTCATTCACTTCGTGACAAAGCTCAAAACACCCATGACAAAGCCTGACTGCACACTGACCTATTTAACAGTTCTTACCTCTTCCTCTCTACTTGGACATTTTACTCACACTTTCTGCATTGCATCATCCTGCTGGCCTGTTGACTCACTTATTATGGGGCCAAGATACAATTGTGCAAGAGTTAGCTGAGCTTACTTCTACTTCCTTCCTGCATATCTGCACATAAACCCCAAAATGCCAGTCTCCACCAGGCAGTAGTCACCGAGACACTGACTGATCTCTCACCAAAATTCCCCAAACAAATGAGATACAGCTAACAAACCTTCCAAGAAAAGGCTTTCTCCACATGAAACGTCTCTGGCAAGCACCAACATGGCCAACATGCCTCCTGTAAAAGGAACAAGGTTAATTTCCTTCCTGAAGGCTCTCAAACCTTAGATTATCGCCTGAGAACCAGTGGTAGTTCACGAGGTCTCTTAACAATGTCTACAAATGGAGGGTTTTGAGCTCCTGACTATGTTGTCCTGTCTCCTAAGCTCATGAACCATTGCTGTCCATGAACAGGTCCCCTCCAAAAAGCATGTGACAGTAGAAACACAGAGGATTTTAGATGGAAAAAGACCTCTGGAGAGATAATGCCAAAGTCAGGTCAAGCTGCTCAGGGCCTGGAACAGCTTGAGTTTTAGGAAATCATTGGCCTCGGGTAAGCCTTGTTCTTTACTCCGCATGGAGGCACTCAATGAGGAGCACTGTGGGACAGCCACAAGTTACTCTGGCAGTGACCATCAACACTGGGGAATCTCTGCTGTGGTGTAGCTAAGCTATCTCCAGGCTCACCAATGCTGTTTCATCCTGCTACTTTTCCATCTGCTCTGCCCTGCCCGGCAGAACACAGCCCTCCAAGCCCCCAAAGATTCAGACCTTACTGGGGGAGCTGTTTCTTAGCCCAGGTTTTACCGTGGCAGCTACTTTCCACAATAATGAACTGTTCACCCACAGTTAGCCTAGACCACAGCAGCACTGAGGTCAGAAAAGGGAAGAAGTTAACTTACTCAACATCACTTTCAAGTGTGTTCATCAAATAGTACAGCTCCGTCATGCACAGACCTGCAGAAGGCAATGGAGAGGCAGACACAGGTAGATCAGCTGCACAGCCACAGCACGACAGCTACAACCAGCCACCGCGCAGCCCATGGGACCTCTCCCCCCACAACAGCATCTCCTGAGTCCCTGCAGCTGTCAGACCTGCAGTCGAGCAGACCAGACCCTGTTTCAGAGTTTGGAGCCTCCAAGTGGCTGTATTTGATTTAGGCCCTTGCTAGCAAAAATTAATGGGCCTTCTGGTAGTGAACCCGAGGACCACGAGTGCATTCAAACAGCTCCTGCTGCACAAAGCAATCCATTATCCCCCAGACAGGCAGCACAATGCAGCCACAACTCACATCCGTGATGCTTGGGTACAAAATCCAGAAAGCTGAGGACAGCAAAGGCTCGCAGCAGTCAGAAGAAATGCACATGCAGGAGAAATCCTCCAGTCCCAACCAGGGCTGCTTCCAGGCTGAAATCAGCAGGTTCTTGCCAGACAAAAGATTAGCTGGGAGCAGTTTAGTAACACGGACCACAGCTTGTCTGAGCTGCTCTTCACCTTAAGCAAGGCACCGTGCTGATGCAGAGCACAAGCCTGGCTTGCCCTGAGTGCCCTGCATGAATTTGGGACCGTGGATGCAGCAGGGAGAGACTTCTCCATCATGTGCACACTTCTGGTGACATGACCCAGAGCAGGAAATGCGAGGGAATTGACACTCCAGGCACTGCTGCAGCTCTAAGCACCTGAGGAAGGGGAAGGAGTTTGCCCCTGAGGGTGTCTGATTTGGGAGAGGCCCAGAGGTCTGTCCCCTCACCCAGCCCATCAGCGTGCCCAGCTCCTCCTGCTGGCTTCATGGAGCTGCTGGTGTGCTGGTGCTGGCACGTAAGGATAAGGATTTTCCAGCGTTAGTTGTTTTTGCTGTTTCTTTGTGGGTTTTTTGTTTGTTTTTTAACCATTAGCAAAGAGGCCATTTAGATTAGAGATAAAGACTTTTAATTTGACTTTCCTCAGCACTTCCCACATCGTACGACAAAACAGTCGTTACATTACTGTGCGCCACGACAGCTCTTTCTTTTTTATGAAAATGACAATGTTTGCATCTTGGCCATTAAGCAGCAGTGATTTTTTTCTGTGACAAACAACTGGCCTTTCAATGATGGTATGAAATTAGAATTGGTTTGCTTTCCCTTGGAGGGAGATCAGAAGCAGTTACACTCATACAGGACATCGTACCAGTGGGTCTCCCCTGGACCTCCTGCACATACCACACAGAGGCTTTCATCAGCCGATTAATTTCTGGGTTGCTACACACATACACACAATGCAGGTAAACACCCACCTCTGGACCCTAATTCTGCAAAGATTGCAGTGGCATTTATCAGAAGGTGACTGCTAGACCTCCCCCGTCCCAGGAATCTCATTGGGTTATCACAGAAGCACGTTAACCCTGCTCTAGCCTCCCGCAGCCCTGGGCACACATACCAGACAGGAGGCTTGCCTTGCTCTGAGGTTTTTAAATATTAACATATATATATACAGGGGAGAATTCATGAAGTTAACACCTAGCTGTTCTACACTTGTTCAAAACAACAAAAGGATTTCTGTACTTTGGGAAAAAAAGTCACCTTTTAGATGGTTTTCTACTTACCACACCCCCTGAGACATCCAAGATGACTTGATTTTCTGAAAATTCACCCAAAACAATCATAGCTAAAGAATCTCTTGGAGGAAAACAAACAAACAAACAAACTTTTCTAGTGACAAATATGAGTGCAAGGCTCATGCACAGGAAAGCAGAGCTGTTGCACAGGGAGCTGCACATGGTGGGGCATCCCTGTGCACTGGGAATGCACAGATCCCTTTCATCTCAGTCTTTTGGGACACGGAGCAGTGTGTGTTGAATTTATGGAAATGTGTGTCCTTCCATTCTGTCTTCTGGCTTATCCCATTTTGGGGGTCTCTCCAGTGAAGACATCCATGGCCAGGAGGGGACCCTCCCTCTATACAGTCCCAGGCCCAGCAAGGCATAGGGCAGGGGGACACAAGGGTGAGTGATGGCTGGGAAACAGCAAGGTTCAGTAAAAATTGGGGTTTTCTTACCCACGCAGAACAAGATCACTAGCCTTTTCCACTGGAAAAGGGCAAAGACAAGTCTTCCTGCTACAGATCTGGCATTCATGCTGTCTCCATACACACCCTGCAAAAAAAGTAGAGACATCATCAGTCAAACGAGGCTGGGGAGCTTTCATCTGGTGCTTTTGCAGAGACAGGCAGGCTGTGTGCCTGTCCCGTAAGCCTAGCCTTGCCGACACTGTGCCTCTGTCCACACAACACTGGTGCTCCCTGTGCTCTGCCTGCTGGCCTCAAGGCCCCTGCAAACACTGCTCAGGATCAGTGCAGCTCATCCCTCCCCTGCACAGGGTCTGGCATCACGGCTGCGTGCCCAGTAAGCAGGCAGAGGAGGCACCTACCCACCTTCCCAGGGATGTTCCCTTCTCACGGCCCCACAGTTTGTTCCTCTGACAAAGGAAAAGAGAGCCCACAAAGTGCTGCTTTGACTGCCAATAAAGTCCTGTGATCAATCCTCCTAAGCCGTGGAGTTGGTAGTGTTTAGGTGTCGGGGTTTGACTGACAGCCTTAATTATATAGGGACAGCACCGCAGCTCACGTAGACAATTGGTGGTTCAGGCTGGTGAGAAACAGGAATAATGTGCTCCTCTCTTGGAGGGATGGTGCAGAAAGTGAGCGCTCAGCTTCCCCATCTGATGGTGATCATCTAATTATCCTCAATGAGCTGGATACAAATCCGAGCTCGGCAGCAGGGAGGCAGTCTGCGATGCTCTCAGTCCACCTTCTTCCCCCCATCCCCTGGCCTGGAAAAAGACCTTTGCAAGGCTGATTAATCCACCCAAGCAGACCCTTCTGCTGGCTGCCACTCATCTGGAGCAAGGCTGCCCTCTGAAACCCAGGGCTGACAGCTGCTGCTCTCCTGGATGATGTCAGGGAGGTCTGGGTGCTCCCCCAGCTATGGGCAGCACGTGAAGCGCATCAGAGCTGGCCGTAAATAGGAAGCCCTGGCAGCCCGCTGTGCTTTGGGACAGCAGGGTCTTTTTCTGGGTGGATGGATGCCCGTTAGGGGAAGGGGATTGGGAGTTTTTCCCAGAAAGACCTTAAGTCAGGGGTGTAGAGAGAGCCAGCTCATCTTTTCTGGCTGCAGACCTACTGTGGAGGTGGGAGTGGGCTGAATGTGTGCCCTTTGCGGGCTGATGCTTTTGCTTAAAAATATAAGGAAGGCAAGAGGTCTCTTACCCCATTTCCCTGCAGGCAAACGTTGCAGACTTACACTGTGCTCTCGGTTATAAATACAGTCACCTTTTCTCCTGCTCTGTCAAACTTTGCAGACGAAACTAGATGCAGTACTTTCACCTCTAACTAGACTCAAGGAGCAAATCTTCAGGTCTGAGCAACAATTTTGTACTTGCAGCTTCCCATCCCTCTCATTTGTCCTCAGAGTTAATACCAGCCTGGTATAAGTAGGCATTTCTTGCTGCCTTCTGCTGCTGTGCTTTCCCCAGTGCATGCTAAAGCCAAGGGAGGGCCAGCAGGTACAAAGAGTCCCACAACGAACTACAGCAACCACATAGGATTTATGTAAACCCTCACATTAAGTGAAGGAAAAACACATGTCCAAGGCAGTTACGACAGCAAAAGAACATCCCCTGTCCCTCCTGTTCTCAAGACTCGATCATTGAAACCAAGTCCTGCAGACAGATCAGAGCAGGAGCTGCAGGAGGTCGAGGATGAGCAATTTGAGAACAGCTCTCATTGCTTGGCAGAAAGGCAACAGCTTCTGCACCCAGCCCGGCTTCCAGCAGCACCCCCTCTGCAAAACAATCCCCAAAGCCCGTGTGCATACACCCTTGTTTCTGCAAGATGCCTCCTGCCTGCCAGGAGGCTTCATTTGCCTGTTTCTACTTCTCTCAAGCCTTTCAGGTTTCTTTTCACAGAGATGTTTTCTTCTTCTGTGTGATTTTTTTTCCTCCTTTCCATTCTAATTAAGGTATTTGTCTCCACAGCAGGAAATGCAAACTGCTGCAGACAATCTCGATATGTATTTTAGAGGAGGAAAAAATATTTAGAAAAGCTATTAACTTCAGATATGCACACAAGCACTCACTAATCATGTCCCTAGAAACCAGGAAAATCAAGAAGAAAAAAAGAAAAAAAATGAAAAGAAGGATGCTTCTCTTTTTAAAAATAGGAAAAAAAAAAAAATGATGATCGAGTTTTTAATTCTGTGCCTAGAACTGAAGGGTCAGATTTTTGGCAAAGAAAAAAACATTCCTGTTAGCTAAAAGCAGGAGCTTTTCCCTAAGAAACTCCAAGAGTTGAGGAGTTGCTGAGTTCTTTTGAAAATCTGCTGCTCAATATTATCACTGGAGATGGGCTGACTGCTAAGCACTAGTGAAAACCTCGTTTTGTCTAAGTGTAAGGAGCTGAGTGCTGCAGAAAATGCATCTTGATTATGTGTGCTGATTGAATCCCAGGTTCAGAAATCAGCCCTTAACGCCTGCTCCACACACTGTCCTCGCCACACACATGATCTGAAGGGGAAGGACCCAATTTACTACTCCATGCCTCAGTTTCTCCGCTTGCGAAATGGAATTATCAGAACTCTCTACCTCTCAAAGGGGCTATGAGCCCAAAATCGTTGGCACAGAACAGCTCCGATGAGTCACTGCAGCAGGCCAAGAATAACACAGAAATACCTAAAGAGATGAGGCATTTTCTATTCTTCAGAGAGCGATTGATTAGTTGAGCTATACTGGGATTTTGGTCCATCAGAGATTGCGAACTTGAAAAAAAAATGGCCTAGAAAATGAGAGTGCATTCTCCTTGATTCTCTTTCCCTCTTCCCACACCACTCCCAGCCTCTGCCTCCCCTGCTCCAAATTTTTTTTTTTTTTTAAATCTACTTCTCTAAATGTTGTTTCTCTCACATCAGCCCAGCAGGAGAGGCAGAAATCAAATTATAACCACTGAAATACCCATCAGCGCTTAGTGCCAGGGGGGTGGGTGGAGACAGCGGAACATTTTGCTTCAGGTTTCAAAAAAAAAATAAAAATCTATCTTTATTAAAATAAACAGGCACAAAAGGAGAAGGAGAAAGAAAATCAATCAGCTGCATTTAAAACAGGGACATATCAAGCAAGGAGTGCTTCATCCAGAGAGATGGACACAAGCTGCAGAGTCCAAGCCCCTCCACCCCTCTCCTTACTTGGAAGAGTGTTTGTCTCCTCTGCTCCTGATTTTGTGCTTTTTCTCCTGGATGTGTGTCTTGTTACTTATGGAGAAGTCCTAAAAAGAACTTTTTCCTATGGGGATGACAACAGGAGGAAAAGCAGAGCCATCCACCTTGTGTCCACCAGATAATTCAAGCCAACCTCTATGAAGATCACACTTCTACATACCTACACAATCTGGCAATAATTTGGGCAGAACTTGCCGCATTTATACATTTTCAGTTCATCTACAAAGAACAGCTAACTACCACGATTGTCACATCCAAATATTTTAAGCAGAGTTTCTCTCCTGCAGGGATTATTTCAGGAGAAAGCATGTGCTACATGGAAATGCTGGTGCAGCCTTTCTGTTCGTCTCTGCAGCTCTCCCTGGATTTTGGCGAGAGGACCGGCAGCTTCAGGAGCCAGCAAACTAACAAATGCGCTCGCCCTGTTCCAAGCCCCAGGTGCCAGCCAGCGGGATATTATCATGCAAGACCTGCACCAGGGCTCGCTTCCGACCAGCACATATCTGGAGCCCATCTCTCTGCCTGCGTGAGCTCAGGAGGTGAAGCTCAGGACGTGGCAGCGACAGGATCTGAGCGAGCTGAGGGCCGGGGCAGGCTCCTCAGTGCACCCGGGTGAATGCGTTTGGTGCGTGCTGGCGTCCAGGTGCTGCTGCCCAAATTAGCCCTACATCTGTCTTGCCACCTGGTCAGGCACAGCTGGTGTCTCTGGGGAAGATTTCGTTGGGTCTCTGCAGAGAAGGGGAACGGCCTCGGGCATGCCAAGACCAGGAACTTCCCCCCGTGCAGCTGTGAGGAGCCACTGCACAAATCCACCCTGCGTTTTGGGAGGTGCCAGCTCACAAATGTGCTCTGGCCCACGATGCAGCACCACATGCACTCAGCTCCTCCTGTCCCAGGGAGATGGGCGATGCCTTGGAGGCAGCCAGAAGCTCGAGCACAAGGCTTTGCCCTAACTGGGGACAGCAGTGGGCTTCATCACCCCCCCAAGCCGCCCTCCACACCTCGTCCCTAGAAAACCACCGCACTTGCAGCAGCTTTGCCTCCTCGGAGGGGTTAAAAGCCCAGCTGAGCTGCAGAAGAGGCCGAGGCTGTTTTGCGCTCCTGCAGTGCCATCCTGTGCTTTAGGTATGCACTGCAGCACCTCCTGGATGCCCAAACTCACAGAGGCCAAGGAGGCAGAGGAACCTGTGAGCAAAACCCTGGGTGTCCCCGGGGTCCTGGCTCCCAGCACTGACCACCAAGGAGCGGGATGTCCTGTGGCCACCACCTCCACGTGTGCACGGGCACCAAGAAGTGGTCACAGGAGAGCCCTGCACCATGCTGCTCTCTGGACCACCCCGTGCCACAGAAAGTCAGCTCAATGGCTGTGTTGTAGCTCAGGATGAGACCAGGAGGTGCCACAGCTGCCACAGCCTTACTTCAGCTTGCCACTGCTTACGGTGACCTTAAAGGGAAGACTTTGTAAAGTGGGGAAGGAGGAACTTGGAGGACCCTCAGATGCATTAATTGGGGATTTTGCAGGGAACACCTCACCAGTGCAGTGCACCCACCCTAAGCAGGCTCTCGTTCCCTGCAGTCATCCATGGACAGAGACAGGAAAGCAGCCACATCCACCCTACATCAACTTGGGATTCATTTTTCTCCTGCCGTCTTTGCATTACTTTTCAGGAGCTGTAGAGAAAACCTACAGAGAATTGCATGGGGCTGGAGAGGAGGGAGGCAGGCAAGAACTGTCCCCTTTCCCAGGGAGGTCTCTGAGCCCCAGCATGGCTGTGCTACAGAGCCTGGGCACAGTGCTAAAGTGTGGGTGAAAGCTCCAGACCAAATGTTTCAGCAATCTCAGTGCCCTTCAGCACGGGCCTGAAATCAGCCCAACATCTC